AAGTTTTCGGACAGATTGACGGACTGAAGAAATGCTGCTGTGCAAAAACGTTTTAATTGCTTTGGTAGATTAAAAATTATATTTTCACCATCTGAATAACATATTTAAACCAGACACGTACTGCGCTTGTCTTGCTCACAACGAGGTTATGGTGCTCACAACGAGGATTAAAGCAAATAAGGGTATATCTTCGTTTCTATGAAGACTTTCATGAAATAATTTACGCTGAAGACGTGCAGGCATCTGTTTAAGGTTAGAATGCACATAACGACACCAAAATCGACGTTTTTAATGTTAAATTTGGTACTGAGAGAAGTTGTCTCCAGTTTTCCAGCTACCGCGAGTGACTGCGTCGCACGGAATTTCCATCAAATTGTCGACCAATAGGCAATATCTTTACACGTGCATATTCGGAAAACACATCGCTAGCTAACTGCATTCCAATATTTTTACATAAATGTCTGTAATCTTCAAAAATCATGAAAAACTCACCTTGTTTATCGTGTCAAACGACCTAGACGGGTGCTCACAACGAGGAACGGAAGTTGCTCACAACATTTTAACCGATGGACATTTTTCACTCGTTGTGAGTTAAACGGGCGTGTGTACACTTATGATGATCCAGTTTTTTTATAATCCGTCTCATTATTTAAACATTGTTCCATCTGTGCAGTTATCTGGGTTAGCAAATGAAATATGTAAATGAAACACATCATAATTCAGTATGTTCCAAATCCATAATTCAAGAACGGCCCATCAATTTTAGTTCGACAGCACAATGTTTAAGAAAAAAAACAACATTATTACGTCAACAACAAGTTACGAAATATATGACGTAACAATAATGCCTCGCGCTTTTTATGGATGATTCCAGTAGCGGCATTGACAGAGGGCGGTTCTAAAGGCATAAGTAACCTCATACAGATAATTTTAAGGGAGATAAATTTGTCTTGATGGCATTTAAAATAATTTTTGTATACCCAGATTTTGCAGTAATTGTTAAAAGTACACCTTCAATTCATATTTTAACAATAAAACTTTTGATAACATTTAAATAATTTTAAACACACTTTTGACATGAATCTATGACAGTACAATACTTTTTCCATTAATTCACATATAACCTTCGTTTTGATTTTATGTTTTTAGACTATTTTGTATATTTCTCAGAAATAATTTCCCTACAAATTATCTCGTTATTCAAGAGTTCGGTAAATCCTACTCTTTTAGCTACAAAATATACCATATGTGGTATTTTTTCTCCCGCGAAAAATATAGCTATTGTTTATTCACTGTATATTTTCGCTAACATTATTGAGGACATCACTCTGTGTTTCTCTTTGACTCGATCTCCACTTCATATTAACATAGTATGTAACACTTTGAGTCTACAAAAAACCCAAACAAGTTATTGTCCCTTATTGAACGCTCCAATTCAATCTTATTCTTATAATAATAATATCAAATCACTGCCGGTATTTCTGGATATTTTGTTAAATTATGAGACGGAAAATTAATCTGTATTTACGAGCTTAAAATGTATAGGCCAACGTTTGGTTGCTCAAACTGGACAGCATGTTTATATTCTTATAATTTACATTTTTCCTCGCACGCGAGTCTGTGTTCTCTCATTAGCGAATGAGCTAGTTCAAACAGACACTGTGCAAAACAATACTTAGTCTGGATTACCTGCCCCTAACCACTATCGTTATTTTAAGATACAAAGTACGACCGGGAACCAGACTAACCAATACTTTAACATAATTGAGCCGTGTCACGACAAAACCAACATAGTGGGTTTGCGACCAGCATCCGCGCAGTCTGATCAGGATCCATGCTGTTCGCTATTAGTTTCTCTACTTGTAATAGGGTTTGTAAGCGAACAGCATGGATCCTGATCGCGCAGGCTGGTCTGGATCCATGCTGGTCGAAAACACATTACGTTGGTTTTGTCGTGATACGGCCAATAAAGTGAATCAGATCCCCTTTCTATATATTTCTTGTCAGATTTGCATGATAATGTAATATTTGTTGGCGATTTCTAACCATTTTTTTACTCTTCTAGCTAGTGTTCCCTTACGACGCGTTGTGGTATTCAACATACGCGCTTGATTGAAAAGCACTTCATAATATTGCTCTTTTTCTCTCAAAAAGAATATAAAATACGATAGTACATCATGGTAATTATATAATTATATAAATCTTTGTGTGTTATAATTTTTAAAGCGGTTACTGATATTTCACTTCAAATGATTTTAAATTGATTATTTTAAATAATGGTTTGCTAGTAAAATTGCCTTATTGACAGCAACTTTGTTCTCATTTTTCATTTCAATGATAACATACAGCTATTGATCAGTAAATAAATAAGAATAATCCATTTTTTTTTATAATTACCGAGTACATTTCACGCTAATTGTGAGACGAGTCCTAAATGACGTCTGTATGGGCGCCGCCATTTTGAAATGGACGTCACGTCAGGTTACAACGTAGGTCAACGGGGAAAAATATAATTTTAACATTTTGACCATATTACTGACTTTATGGAAAAAATGAAAAACATGCCAAGAGATATTGACGTCAGGATTACCATGATATTAATTTAAATGATTATACCATTATATTCAATAAAAAATGGAATATTCAAATTTGGTGGGACAGACTATAGTACCATTTTTATGCAAAGCCAGTGATTTTGTTTGAAGCTCAATTTCGTTGGTATTGTTGCGACTTACTTTTTTTTCAAATGTCGTTTCATAATAGGGCGGCATTTTAAAATTTCTATTTCGATATTGTTTTTGCTGTCATCCGACTATAGTTAATAAAAAGTATTAAAAGAGGTATTGTCTACATTGTTTTTAGATACCAAAATGAATGTTACAAACTGCACGTGAGAATACATCAAAAATAAAATATTTCTATATTTAAAGTTGTTTTACACTGTAATAAAATGTCAAATACAAACCACAATCTGTTTCATCGCTTTTGTCGAAACAGTCGTATTCAGCGTTACATCGATTGACTGCTTGAATACATTGTCTATTTTCACAACGAAACTCAGTTTCATCATCACACGTTGGGTAATCTTTAAGAGTTCGTAAAAAATCAATTTAACAGCAACATAAAAAGTTAAAAAAACTTAGAACCGTGTGTTATATATTGTATATATTTACACAGTATACGTGTTTGGATATATATATATAATTTTGATTATATTTGTGACCAAAAATAAAAACGCTGTTATCTTCTAGCGCTTTTTTAAGTGTCGACACAAATATCATTCAAATATGAATTTATCTGAGTGTGCTCTCAATAAATGATCGGAAAATTACGAGGAAATCAAAATTATCAAGGGATATACACATAATGTGTTATATTGGTGGTAAATCCATAAAAGTAGGGTTCTTTCATAGCTAAGTCTTTCGCTCACTTAACATTACATATTTTGGAAACTTATACAAATGTTTATAAAAGATCAGAGTGTGCCGTTAAAAAAGTTTTTGAACTTTATTTAGGGATTACTATGTTCTCTATTTTATACATAAATAAAGAATCGTTGTATTCCTGGCATATGGTGTATAAACATCTTAATATAAAAACAATTTTCATATCGGTTATTGTAAAGAAGCACATAATAGCACTCAGCTAACAAATCAGGCAGCAAAATGGTTGTTTCTACTCAAAATATTTTAAACATGAAAGAAAATTATAACTCTACACTCATTTTAAACATTTCTTTGACATTATTTTCTTCAATAATAATAATATATTATTATACATTGTCTATTTTCACAACAAAAACTCACAACGTTGGGTAATCTTTCTTCAATAGTTAAGTTCAATATATTCCTATTATGAATCAAAATTAGGGGCTTATTTCTAATTTTCAATATTTTTGTTTTCAAAGAGTACTTTGTTATTTTGTATCAAATGATAATTATTAATACTTCAACCGTGAAGTTTTGATTTTATCAGACTTTGACAAATGTGTAAAAATAGCGTTGGAGGGGTAAAAATCTTGATTTTTCTCATCGAAATCTATCAAGGATTCAATTTTATATATATAGATGAGGCAGTCATTTTTTGGAATTCATTCCTCATATCTCTCTTGGTGAACAATGCTTGATTCCCAATGAAAACCCGCTATGTATTACATACAATTATTTTACTTGGCTTCTGTGAAAAGTCAAAAAAGTTTATTTAAATTGTAAAATATATAAAGTATAGGTTATAAGTTATATACAGAATTTTAAGAAACTAATTTTCGAGCGAACGAAGTGAAGCAAGAAAATGAGTTTCTTTAAACTCTGTAATAATAACCTTTAACCGACTTACCATTTTAGTGGCCACCATTCGAATTGAAGTTGCATAAATGTTAATAGGCGGAAAGCCAAATTAAATAGGCTCATTAATTGTATAAATTTAAAAATAATACAGTTGAGAGTAAACGCGTAGGTTACAATTTTGGAAAACATTTAAAACCCAAAATAAGAACGATTTCATTGAAACAAACAAACTTTAAGTATGTTTATTTATAGGTAATCTTTGAAAACATATAAAAGCTTTACCACACAATTTCTTTCCCGTCCACACAGCCCCGGTTTTTAAAGTGCACATACGACTCAGTTTAAATCAATTTCCTTGTCACAAGAAAACTCATCTTGTTCACCATTCTACACAAACGAAATATGTACTATATTTGTTTAATAAAAATATAAATGTATCTTTCCCCTTTTTGTGGTTTACATCAATCTATCAATTTTTCGTCCACAAGGAAAGAAAGGGACAAAAGTCATCACGAAGTAAGGATATGTTAACAGTATTGAGTCAAAACGATCAAATCAAATAATTGTATTGATAAAACAACTTTATTAGCAATCAAACACTCAGTCACCAACTTATTTTAATTAACTAAATGTATATGTTAAGGAAGTATTTTCGTTATTTCTAAGTATTAAAATAACACTTAAAATGAACGCCATAATGGAGCGTTTAATTATTCACAAAATAAAAATAACGATTTTTAAAAAGAAATATAATGAACAGAACATATTACCACTATTGCCATGCAAACACATGACTTCGTCCGAAGCATCAATACAATCAATGACATCATCACATTTAGCTAACATAGATATCCACTCTTTGCTATTTGTACAGCGGAAATACGCCCCGGAATTGTGTCGGCGGGGTAAATCAGATTTTAACATTGTATCCGTACTTGCATTTTGTGAGAGATTGTGATCTAAATGAAAATATCATTAAAAAATATTTTAAGAGATTATAATGTATCAAGATAAAGGCAAATACAATGTCAGATTATATCTCTATACAAACTTTGATGATGCTGGGACGTTTTTATAATAACTGAATGTAAATAAAAGAGAGTTTTGATCTTTTTCAACTGATCAAATACAAGTATATCATATTGATATAGAAGTATTGACATAACACACTGTTTAATTTGGTCGTCATGAAAATGTACTTTTGTCTAAAGAGTAAACACTTAGCTTTCACATTTAGTTCCAACGAAGTGATTGATACAAAATATGTAAACAATAAAAAAGCGTGTAATGCCACTTATGAGGCTCCGTATATAGATTCGTTTGAGAACAAAACTCATTTTTATTTTCCTTGCGCGCACAACGATATTATACAGGCTTGGGTGGAGGAGAGGGTGGTAAACTGATTTGGTATGAAGGTTCGCGCAATTGCATCGTTCTAATGATGATTAAAGATAGCCCAATATTTTCTTATACAACTGAAAGACACTGAATGCATACATGCAAAATGTTTAATTCAATTGCGTATATTAGCCTTTTCATCGGTAAGGTATCACAATACTATTCTTTAAACTGCTCGAATTATTTATCGCATTGTTTTATAATAATTAAAACTACTCTTTCTGTATCGCTTTTATGCCCTTCGAAGAATACGCGAAATGCTAATCATCTTAGGGAATATGGTAGGGTTAAAATGTCTGTGAGGATTTTGATATTAGCTACAATCCTTCAATTGAACATTACATAAAAATAGAACAAATCACACTTGATCCTGACATTTATATAGTAAAAAGCATTTTGCTAGAATAAGCTACATCTTTGTTATTAAAAAATAATTAATGTAAGTAGTTATTTATAATGTTATGAAATGACCGTCAATGCCAACTGCCAACTTATTTAAATAATTTTTTTGTAATTAATAGACGAACTTGATTCATTTGTAGACTAAACAACAGTTAAAGGAAACAAGTGTCAAATAAAGAAATTCCAACAAAGTGTTCATATAAGTGATCTTGAATCTCAAAGTCAAATTGATTGGATTTCATACAACTTACTAAACCATTGTTTTATATGAAATGATTTATACAAAGATAAAACAACACTTAAGCATTGCCAAATGAAATAATTAAAGTATGACATTGACTTTCAAATGCACATGACCCTCAACTCAACTAATTATTATGTTTCTTTTTCAAAACAAATCCAAATAATTTATTACAACCTAAATGGAAAAATTGTGACGACGTTTTCTAAGATATACTGTAAGATATTTACATTGACATAAAGTTGACACTGATATTTGAGGTCAAATCTATAATTTTAGCCTGAAAATTGATTGTCTTTTATTTGTTTTGCCTATTATAAGTAGATGAATTTGAGGTCACCAGGTCAAAGGTCAAGGTCAGAGGGGCCTTGACTAAAAAAGCTTGTCAGCCTAATAACTTTCGAATCTTTTGAGCAACAGTTTTCATTTTTGGCATGGAGGTTAGTAATGATCATTAAATGTCCCCTTTTGATTTTGAGGTCACTGGGTCGAAGGTCAAAGTTACAGGGGCATTGACTAAAACACACTTATCCACTTAATAACTTAAAAGTCCTCTGACCTAATTCGTCAAATTTGATATGAAGATTGGTCATGATAAGTAGATGACTCTATTGATTTTGAGGTCACCAGGTCAAAGTCACAGGACCTTGACTAAAAAAGCCTGTTTGCTCAAATTCTTAAGAATGCCTATCCACAGTGAATTGATTTTGACATTTTGCCATTTGAAGCATATAATAATGTTCTCATATATTCATCATTAAATACCCCCAGACAAGGCTGCATGCATTGGGGATGTTCAAGCAATGCATGACATGAGGTATGAGATAACTTTTCGATATTAATGTTCTATTTGATGAAGGTATAAACCAATAACTTGAGAGCAAAATTTCAGAGCCGTTTTTTCAGAATAATAATTCTTAGTGTGAAAAATGACAAAAATGGTTGCCAATTTGCGTTTTTTATTTCTAATTATTTCTCAATAAACTCAATTAATCTTTCTGTATAAAGAGTCTCAGCCAAACAATTCAAAAAATCAAATCTTTAGGCTCTTTGACCTCAGAAAAGATAGATTTTGCTTTGTTTCCTTTACAATTGAACTTTGCTATATATAATGCAGTTGTGTCTAGTCAATTCGGGGGGGGGGGGTCATCTTTCAGCCTTTCAGATGAAACAGAATGTACAAATATGTCTAATATTACGATATAAAAGGCCATAGTAAAATAATTGTTTCAAAATAAAAGTATTCTTAATTGATTTATTTACTTTATTACATAGCTGTATGAAACTTTGAAATATAGTTATTATTCTTCTTAGATGCTATATTTCATTTAAGCATTACCTATTTCTGAACATACAAAAATAATGTTTAAAATCGTAATGATATTCATGTCTGAATCATAATGATTTTACGATTTGGGGAGGTTATCAAAATAAATATCAAGTATCAAAATATGCGTTATTGTTTTGCTGCCATACAATAGTTTTATCTTATTTCTAACGATGAATTTATCTTCTCTTAACTTGTATTTATGACAGTTTCATGAACACTAATTTATGAAAAAAATATTTAATCACGTAATATATTTATTAACCAAACATGTACGGCTTACAGATTACATGTCTATGTACAAAGACTAGTTAATACCATCATGGTCTCATTGAGAACGAACGGTGACTTCTATTTTGGTAGAACGGAGGATACGTAGCAGTCATTAGATTCCTACTTTTAACACAAAACAGACAAAGGTCTCTCAGCTATGAAAGATAACCACATCCCGGATAAATCACTGCACGGCATGTACTATACAATTTATTTAATATGCAAAGGTCTCTCAGCTATGATATATATTGTAAAGGTTGCAAAAGGAAAAAACGTGCCAGTCAAAAAAAAAAGAAGAAAAAAAAGGAAAAAAGGTATTATAACTACTAAATAAATTCCTTAGAATTAAAAAAAAAATGATTAAAAATCTGAAAATCATAACTATTTATTATGTTCCTGTCTCAAAAACAAGTGTAAAAATAGCAATGAAATATACCTTTTGTGTGATTCCCGTCATCTAAAAACGGTTTCTCACAGATGTAAAATTCGACCTTATTATTCAAACAATCTTCAGTCCCCCAAAGTGCTTCGGTATTGAAAAACTGGAATAACGTACGGGTACAATCTGTTATTGCAGGTTGTCCGCTTTCCCTGCAGTGGTTAAAAACAAGCTTGATCCCTTCAGAAATGTTATAGATATAGTACACAGTAGGGAATTTATCTTTTACAATTTTATCCTTTTAGTTTTCTTCATGATTTAAACTTCGTAAATTCAATTATTCATTCATTCATTTACGTTTTCAAATGAGGGATGTCAACTTCTTGACTTAAGGATTTCACCTTTTTGACATCATTTTTTCAAAACCTCTTGAAATCAAGAATTTAACTTTCATGAATTCGCGTCTTCGAATACACGAATAAACGATTTCAACATTTTATCATGACATTTAATCAAGTCTTGACCAATTTCAACTGTGTGACTTCATTTCATTTTATTTTATTTCATGATAAACATTGAAAAATTATAATGATCGTTACTTAAATATATAAAACATATAATTCTAGAAGATACAAAAGTAACAAGTTTTTATCCGTAAAATCGGCGGAATAACATACAAGGCTATCCTATGCGAGGGTCTGGTCCGCTTTCATTAACGAGGGAAAAAATATTGTGTTGGATTTGAAGGAATTTGATTTGGATTTGAAAATTTTACGCCTATTGAAAAGAAATATAAGTTTTCGTGGATTTCAACAGACAACAAATAATTGTTGAGAGGTGGGTAAAGAAGCGACAAGAAATTTGAAGAACATTGACTTTCTTGAAAGCTGCCTTACGAACTTGGGGTTATTACCTTATCCTACTGGCTGATGGCTGTCATTGCTCCTACACATTGTATTACAGTTACTTGTAGGATACTTAAATATGACCAAATACCATCAAGAGCAGTTTTGCATGTTGATGGATGTGTGATTATGAGACTGTTATGAATGTAACCAAAATTTCAGCAAGCCCTGGTTTGTTAAACCTCTGAAAAACCTTACAAATACCACAATTAAATGCAATGTATTTCTTCCAAAACTTAAACTAGCACAAGTGAAACATTTATTGAACACAAATGATGCTATGGCAGTAGGCTAGAAGTTTTTTGCCTATTCCATCAACAATTTTGGAAAAAAAAGTACCAATTGGTCAGTCATCTGATTATGTTTAAAATATTTGATAATAAACGCTGTGCTTTAAGTAAAATGTCATGGTAGCCACACTACACAATAAAGACTTCTTGAGGATTGAAGAAAACAATAATTATGCGGCTGCTATCTTAGTGGATTTATCAAAGTCTTTTGATGGCGTGTCACATTTTTGGACAAGTTAAAAACATTATAGATTATCAGGACCTGCAGCCAGCTTCATGAACTCTTACCTATCTGCGAGATATATTAATATCTGATATCTTCTTTTGGAAATAAATGCATACTAATTAATTGCGAAGGTGGTGTCATTTTATCTTTTCATACTAAATTGTATAAAAAAGCTGACTTTTAATGAAAGAAAAGTATAGATTATTTTCACTTCAATAAAATGCAAGAAAACCCAGGTAAGTATAAAAGTACAGCAACTGGTAAACAAAACATTTGCAAAAGTTTCAAACATTCAAAATAAACACAAGCGAATAAATATCAGGTAAAACTGTCAAACAATATGAAAAAAAAATAAACAAGGAAGGGAGACATTCAATGAAGGCATCCCCCAACACAGAAACATCCGCAATGAGCACATCAGAACATCCAAACAGTGTGTGGTACAAGGACTTAACCAAACTGGATGTTCTTATTAATCAGAAAATCAGGGGGAGGTAGGACGGGTTAAGGGTGGGGTAAATTAAAAAAAAGGGAAAAACTTACCGAAGACGAAAAACAGAAGGAAAATTTAGTATCCACACAATTGTATGTAACAATAAACAAGAACTAAATCTGAGGAACACAGAGGGGTGCCACCTGGACCGGTCCGCAGCATAAGTACTGCTGGAACGTTTGAGTTCCCGCCAAGTGATATTCTAACCGTTGTTATGGTTACAAAAGATGAAATAAGTAAAGCAAAGAAATGATCATGTAGATACATATAAAAGTAAACTCAACTTCCAAAAGAAAAGTACTTAATGTCTTAAAGGAAGACAGAGCAGCAAGAAAATCATTTACATTGACCGAAGAAAGACAGAAGAGGATAATTAAGATAATTCAGTATCAATGGGGTTTTACAACTGTTCATCATTGAGTCTTCAACTTGGTTGATCAGATGTTTTCAGAAGAAGAAAGCGTAGTGTCCAACTGTAAAGGGTTGGACACTAAGCATGCAGTATGTCTTAAAATAGAAGGGGCATAACCTTTTTTAATACAGCGTTTAATCATTTTAGAAAAGGCAGCAGATCTTAAGTAGTTTGTTCATCGCAACTTCTTAGAAAATCAGGCTTGCTACTCCCTAGTCGTAAAAGAGTTTTCAAATCGCTATTAAATTTTGAAATCAAATTAAAGTTACGATTATAAAATTAAGTAAGAATTCCTGTAATTTTATAGCTGTAGCCCCGTTTAAGAAGTTTGCTTGTAATGAATATATTCCGTTATTAAAATCCTCTTTCAGGCTACATATCCTGGCGAATCTAATTAATTGAGAAACATATACCCCGTTAGATGTTGCATGGAGTACATCTCAATCTAAATATCGATATTTGACTATACTTAATCAAAGTCATCTCTCTTATAACAGATTTTTGAGTTAATAATATTGTTATCGACTGTAATATAAAGATGCAAAAAAAATGATGTAAAATTTAAAGAATTCGTTTTATTCAGTTGAAGTGTTTTTGGATAGATTTAAGACACCATTTGATCAAAGTGAAAATTTATTATTTAAATTAAAGATATCGTCAAGGTATCGTAATCGGGTATTATCAAACCAGACATATATGTTGCCTAAAAGAAAGAAAAGTGCTCCACAATCTTCGTTACAGGTCCACCCACATAGTATAATGTTTTACGATACCGTTTGTAAAAATCACCTTTTGAGAATAACATGGTAACTTGTTCAAGACAAGGTATATAGCATCTCCAGTATATCCCCTTCAAATTTTGTTTGCAGGGATATGATTGCAATATAATGAAATCTTGAGTTGAAGACAGGAGGTTTAAAAACGTGAATTTATAAGGTTTTTTTTAATTAAGTCACGAGGTTGAAATGGCGAATTCGTGAAGTTTAAACACGTACATTTAAGAAGATTTATCGATAAGTTGAAATTTTAATTGTGAATTTATAAAGTTAAAATCGTTAATTTGTGATGTCTTTATATTCAAAATAAAAATAAAATAATTGAAATCGTACAGTTTTGAAACATTTTATTGGGATTTCATGAAAGTTAAACAGAGGAATCTTTGAATTAAACCTCAGCTCGTCTTTCGAAAGTGGAGAGCTCATGACTAAAATAAATCCCCGATATTGACTCTTTGTCTCTCATAACTATTCAACAAAACTGATAAGAGTAGAGATTTTAAACAAATATCATACAAGTAAAAATAAATAATGAAAAACACAGGCAATTATATGATTGTATTGCAAGAAATCCATAAGTCCCCTATCGGTTAGAACCCCAGCAACATTATGATGGGTCATTGGCTATTTAATTTTACTATTGAATGAATGACATGAATGAACTTCAATCTTTTGAGTTCTAAATTTGTCTATACCATAGTAATGTGTTATGTTTCCCTGCTTAGTAAGGAAATTATGTTTATACAACAGATAATCAAAAGGTCCAATTTTCTCAGGATGAATTAGTATAACTAACGTTTCAACTTTTTTCAATTTTAATTAAATTAGTTGGAATAAATTTTTAAAAGTGATCTCAGGAAACAGTTCTTATGAACAGACAGACTGCAGGAGTCTCTAAAGTTATTTTTTAAACATCCTTGTTACCAAAATATAACATTTTTAAGCAAAATTCTTAAAGAGAGGATAACTCTTGAAATAAAGATGCTAGATTTAAGAACATTGTCATACATGATGTGAGTGTAACAAAGAACAATTATTTCAAGTTTAAAGATACAACTTATAGTCACAAATAAGAAATGTAATAAAAAATTTTGTTTGAAATATACCATTAAGATGTATAGAAGTAACAAAGATAAAAAAATATATATAAAAAATGAAATGTAGGTTTTAATAATGAATGTTTATTTTGAATTTGAAGTAAATCCATGAAGAAATAAGAAAGTTAAAGAATGCTTAAGAAAAAAGTCAAAGGGAGATAATTCTGGAAATATTAATTCTAGATTTATAAATCTTGTCATAATATTATGATATGGGAGTTTGAAGTAAATCCTATAAAGAATGAAGAAGTTGCAGTAAAAATACCATTTAAAAAAAAGTCTATGTTCAAATGGGACATAATTGTGGAAATAATCTTGCTAGAGTATTGGACCTTCTTACAAATTTTGAGTGATAATAAGAAACATTTATGTTAAGTTTGTAGATACATTAACAAATAAAAAAAGTATTTAAAAAAACAATATTTTTTCGTTCAAGAGAGGTAATTCTGATAAATTTTGTGCCAGTATTGTAAACCTTGTCACATATGATGCGGTTGATGACTAAAAACTTTTATTAAATACCTTAAGAAATAAAGTACTTATAGTGGAAAAGCGTTAAAACTAGAATCACAACTCTTGAAATTCAGTCTATTTGTTGCCATATTTACCCGAATTTTCAACATAGCAAAACAAGATGTGCATAATCTCCAGACTGCCATCTACCTATTTTTCAAGTTTCATACAAATATTTTCAGCACTTTTTGCGTTATCTCGGGATCCATTTGATGTGCTAAATTTGCCATATTTAAAGTCTACTCATTGCCACAGCCAGAATTTCCAACATAGGAAGAAAAAAAGACATCTTTAAACTCCATAGTGCCATTCGTCAATATATTAAGTTTCATAAAAATATTTTCAGTATAGTCTGATTTTATTGACCTGTCAATTATGCATACATTATAGGACTCATTTAAATATTCGACCCTACTTCGGTTTGGTCCGTGTAGTTTACGAGAATTAATGTGGAGTATATAAGTCATGAATTGAAAGTCACGCCAGCTTAATGTGAAGGTTTTCGTAAACTCACAACAGTACGGTCGGTTAAGAGAATGCCTGATGATTGAGAGGTCTCTGGTTCGATACATACTGTTGCCATTGTTTGAGTACTCTTTCTTTATTTTTAATGACGGACAAACTTAAACAAATATGAAAGAAAATAGAAAGAGTAGATTTACTTTATAAAATATTTAAACAAAAATGATTTTTTACCTTCTTACTGGGTAAATTGTTTTCACATTTCATTTTGTAAATTTTAGGCACTATAGACTACCTGCACAAGGTCGATATGAATGAAATATAATTGACTTCAAAATTGTTGTTAAGTAGTATCACACAAGTTTATTACCATGCAGTGAATGTAACGCTGTTGCCGTTGACCCAATTAAATCTTGTCTTCTTGTTTTTGTCCGTATGTCGTCTCAAGCCTTTTTTAATCAAAACAAAAAGAAACGGAATTATAACAAGCCTGGAATAAATCAGTTAATTTACAAAACATTTAACATTTTTATGTTTGCGGATATATAAGTTTAGTCATACAAGAATAGTGTCTAAAAATGTGTTACATATTTTTCCATAGAATCATTAATATAAACTCGAAACACATTTTGTTGTTGTTGTTGACATATCTAACCCATTATTGTGTCTCTACCCATAAACTTAATACTATACCGAGGATTGATCAAACGTTTTTCTTGCATTTTAGATAATGAATCAATTTACCCTTAAGGCGTTGTATGATAAAGGTCAATGACTCAATAGATAATTACATGCGTACTTATAGCATTGACTTAACTAACAATATTCTTTTTTCGTTCACCCAAAACATCGCCGTATGTTAGTTATAAAAACACAGGACGGTAAGGATGACGTACAAACTACACATTCGGAGATTAATTTGTTATGTTGTTTTTTCTCCAATAAAAATAAAATAACGCAAATAGTAAATGCTCTAACTTAATAAATTATTAGAAAGCACATTTAAAAATATTTGTTGCAATTTTTTATGCGTTTAATCTCTTTGTTGAACAATCGATTTTGTGTATTTCAATCTCTTTCTATGTGTTAAAACTCATCACAAAAATATATCATACTATGTTTATGTCTTATACTATCTGTGATTACAGAACGTATCGGAAAACGAGATTAAAATATGGTATTTCCCTTTTAAATCACATACGAAACATTGTAACATATTATGCTAAATATATAATAACATTAAAATAGAATTTTGAATAGTTATTTTCAATCAAGCTAGAAACATTGATAAGATGAAACTTTAATGTTTATGAAAAAAAATCAATCACACTTTATTTCAAAAGTTACCAATATGTGCTCCATAAGGTATGTTAAACCGACGTCTGTACGCAGCAGGGTAATGATCATATAACACAAAACGTAGAAGGTATTGTATGTAATTCATTTCCATTCTTGATGCTATAGTGACAAGATGTTCACTGCGCTTACGGCATTTGCGGTTTGCAATATCCCATGATACATCATCATTGAATACTGTATAGCATTTTCTTAAAAGCCCTGAGCAAGAAATAAGCCCTGAAATAAAGGAACGTGTTACATTTATAAATATTTATTGTTCCATTAGGGGATTAAATATCATAAACAAAATACCGTTTGTCGTGCACTTCTTCAAAACACTTGGCCATAGTCAACAACTAAGTATATAGTCTCAAATTTTCAGGATTGAAACAAAAGGAAGACTTTTATCATTTAATGGTCAATATTCAATAATTTTCATACATTAAGGATATTATAATAATGAAATCCTTTATATAAACATAACTTCACTGAAGTATCTGCTGAGCTGATCTTAAAATAATATCTAAAATTTATTTTGTATTTAGATAAAACGATATTAATTTCGAGTTTGCTCTGTATTTATACCTGAGTGAGATCCTTTGACCTCGGTAGTATACCTTTGAAGTGAATGATCTGATATTTTATAATGTAGCCGAAATCCTTCAACACGCCCCTTTATTTCGCCGATCGCATACGTATATGTCGACAAATCCCAACGTCGATAAATCAAATTAATATTTGAATCTTTTGATTTATATGTCTCCGGTGGAAATACTCCAGAGCAAAACTCGGTTTCGCGGAAAGCATCTTTGATGGCAAATCTTGATCTAATGTCTATATTAATGTAACACAATATCATTTATATCACAAGATAAACTTTATGAAGTACACAAAATACAGTGATTTTGAATGGAAATTGACTACAAAGCACAACAAAAAACTTAGCATTAACATAATTAAGTAGACATTTTATTTTTTATTCGCCACTCAAACTTAGCCGGTGAAACAAAGAAAAAAGACCTTCGATAGAAAAAAAACCCGCTCAATATAATAATAAATTGGTAAATATGATGAAGAACATGACATTTTAGAATAGTCAGGTTTTATTACTGACATGAACAGACTCTGTGTCACATTTATACCAACGTATTCACTACTCAGGTGATCATGATGGATAGTCTTATTGTTTTCTAACCAAAAGAAGAAAAAAACGTGACTATATAAATCATTATTTCACATAAGTTTGTTTGTGTATTGAAAACAGTACTCAGTGGAACCTTTGGAAGTTTAAAAGATTCAAGGATGCTTCATCATGATTGTATGCACATGCCATGGCTATATTTATACACACTTCTATTGGGTTGGGGGTTCATTTTCTTCGTTATAACGCAGATTTTTTTAAATTGCATTTAATGGATATCTATCTTTCTAACAATTGCATAGAATGACATAAAAATTGAATCAAACAAATCGCATTCATCGATGCAAGTACTATAAAATTTGTGGTCAGACGGCCAATGTCACTGTAGACTACATACCTTAAGGGTTCTCCCAACCAGTTACATGAGAGCACTTAGGCCTACAGTCTTAAGAGTTGTTGTGGAGGTTGGCAATGACTGTAAGATGACCGTTAGAAAGATAATGCTTTGTAGGCCAATGGACAACTTTATTAATTTTGAGGTGAGATTGAAGCATCAAGTACTTGTTTTATTTTTAAACAGACAATATTTAATACGAAATACGCTCGTTCGCAAGTCGTTGAATACACTTGCATTACTACCGCTGCTTTAACAACGTAGATTTATGATATTGAACTTTATAGGTAAACTTTACACGACCAAAGGACATTTACGATATACCCGAAAATCTGTATGCACATTTTCATTGGTTGAAACAGATCAAGTCACTACAAAAGTTATTAATAAACGGGTTTGTAAATTAACAAAATTAATTTGACCATACCGCCTGAATTTTGGGTATGTTTCTATAAATAACTTTGCTTATCTCAACCGATTTTGACCAGATAAGACACATCGTACCAGTCATTATATAAACCGAAAATATGAAAAACCTCGAATATATTTTGTGAACATTCTAGTACTTTTTTTTTCATAGCCGGGACCGAGGGGAACAATACACACTTATTTATCACAACAAGCAATTTTTTAACAGTTCGTCTGTTTTTCCCATTCTTTCATTAAAAAATAATTGCTAAATCTTATATAGTTGTTATGTCCAATGTTTGTAGTGAATGCAGTGATGTTTTAGCATATTTTAATAAATTTATAATGAAATGGTACGGACTACCTTGTCATTTTAATGGATACAGTACACATAAATTTTCTGTTGTTTTTTTTTAAATAAATCTGAGTAAATTGCTTTCACTTTTAATGTGAGAGTTTTTTGTTGTTCAAATCTATATTATTTTATTTATTTTAAGAGATCTCTGGGCCTGTTTTTTCTAACTGTTTTATAGAAAGATATATATACATTCTTTATGATTGACTCTTGTTGATGTTTTACATTATTGCAGTGCTGTTTTAGCATTCATTCATTAAGATATAATAAAATGGTAGACAATACAGTGCTTTAAAAAGATATACAGAACACAAAAACTTTAGAAAGGGGAACGGAGCAAATTCTAAATTACAATGTATGTTTTGTTTTGTTATTCATTTGAAACAACCATTTATACCTTTTTTTCTGATGATAAAACATGGAAGTATTCAGTGTGCGATTATGCTTTCATTTAATTCATTTTTAGTACATAAATGACTGTATAAACCTTGCGGCTCATAGTGTATGTAAAAATTTAAACAAGTAATTAGCAGTTAGTTGGAAATAAATGTTCCTTGCAAATATTTGTTAAAAAAAATCAAATTTTGAGCAGAACGCTACTTGTGATGCAAGTGTTTTTTTTAACACGTCACAAATTAAAGTTTTTTTCAGCCCCATAATATTTGTTAGAAATATTATCCGGGTCTTAGACTAGCTATTTAAATAATCTAAATATTCACATAAAACAAAGACATTCCGCAATTTTACTTGCAATCAAAAATAATTGTTTCATATACATGTATGGCCTTTTGGTAAAAGTGTGCGTATTTTGGGCTTTCTAAGCTTCTTTGTCATTGCAGTTATCAATAACTCAAGCATCTTATTGTCAATGACCTAATATCATTTAAAATGCTTTAAAAACAAGAGCTAATGGATATATGTGCGTGCGTGTTTGTGATAAAAATAAAATTTATTTTTTAGGAAAACTTAATTTGTAAATCGTTTTAAAAGGCTCCAAATATTGACGTTGAAAGCGACGTTCCTTTGATGTTTACATTCATATTTTATATAGTACATGAAGTAAGTTCGAGATCCACCAGGAATTTAGATTTCTTCTCTAGTGAGAAAGGTCTCTAATTAGGTTACTGATCGTCGGTGCTTCTACTTAGGGGTCTGCTAGTGCCTTTTTAATTAATATTCCAGGGGGCACTAAAGAGATAAAGAAAGTTGCCATATGGCCATTACAATTTTGATAAGGCAAACATGACCTATATTACCTGAATTTAAAGTTATTGATTTCATTAAAGCTTCGTGTCTTTAGGACATTTTCTAATTAAAAATCACCTTAAATATGAAACAAAAGATATTGAAAGAGATTGTCTGAATTATTACCACCAGTTATAACAGAATTGGAAAAAAGAGCTTTTGTTCAAAATACCCAAGTCGAATTTACACATGACAATGTCATGGATGTTAAGCGTGATCTCATAAAAATAAAATTAATGCACACATAAACATTAACAATGTTATTGTGAAATTTGAAAAAAAACAACAAACTTTAAGGAACTCCACTGAGGTTTAAAAGCCTAAAACATAACGTCACAGGGTGAGAAAATTTGAATTCTTTACATAAATGAGCTGGGACACTTTAAATAGAAATATATGCAAAGATAGTTAAGAAATATACTTTGAAATAACTTGAACTTATTTTTATGCTTTTTAGACGCTTTTTATTTTGGGTCATTTTTTTACAATTCGAATATTTATTCTGGAAGAACGAAGTGATCTGAAAGTTTGCACATAGATAAGTGATCTAAACGTACATAAAATGGTACATTTATCTGGAAAAAAATATTTTCAGTCCCACCATGTCAAAATACCTCAGTGGAGTCCCTTTAAATTGAATTAGGGGTTTGATGTTTAAAAAAATACGATTTTTACAAAAACTTCTAAACAAGTCCATGTAAATCAATTAATAGCCAGGGTTGACCGAGGTCCAAACTTGTGTTTTGCACATCATCTCAATAGAAGTAATATTTCTTCCAAAATGTTTTAATTTCTTCCTATCGGTTCAAAAGATGCAGAGCGGAAAAAAATGATATTGAAACAAAATGACTAATTGTGAACTTGACCTGAGAGAGGTCAAACCACGCTCTGCACATCGTCTTATTATGGTTAACATTTCTGTCAAGTACTTTGATATGTCTTTCCCCTGTTTAAAAGACACAGACCGGACACGAAAACTCCAATTTAAGTCTTTAACAATAAATTAATTCCCGGGGTGGGCCCAAGTTTAATGTTAAGTCCAAACTTGTGTTCTGCACACCGTCTCAATATAAATATTTCGGCCAAAATATTTCCTTCTATCGATTCAAAAGATACAGAGCGGGCAAAAATTATGATATTGAAACAAAATGACTAAATGTGACCTTGACCTTGGCTTCTAGCCCATAAGCCCTTTGATCACGGAATGAACCTATTGTTATGTTTTGTTCTTTTTACCGTTATAAAGTACCTAAACCCAAAATGTTTGCTCGGACAGACGGACGGACGAACAACCAGGTGCATAACAATAATCACCGAACAACACAATGTGGCGTATAAAAATGCTGCAAAGTACATTGGATGTAATACGTTAAACAAGTTTTACTATTATATATAAGTATAGTGTTGAACCGTTTACAAAACATAAAGTTGTGGATATTTTCGGTTAATTTTGACGAATACGTTACCTAAAATGACATTATGTAGCCAAATTTTTAATAACGAGTGTAACCGCCACTTGCCCGAATAATAACTTTAACCCTGTACCGTTCCCTTCAGCCAGTGAGTAGCTTATTTAATGACGGATACCATGCGCCTTATCTGATCAATAGCGTTGGAGTAAAGTTTAAATAAAAAAACATGCCTGATTCGGGTAAAAAACCTGCGTGTACCGTAACAAAAAAGTCACGTGGTATGGCCACATTGAAAATAGCTTCTCCAGGAGATCTCTGCTGATGTTGGTGTGAAGAAAGTAAGGATAAATTAGGTTGTTCGTAACAGTTTCATTGATGTTGTGATATTGACAACATTAGTAGGAAGCATAGCAGACATGTAACTGTGTTTTCAAGGAAAAGCGCGTCTTCATCATCTTTATCGTTCAAGAATTACAAGAGAAACCTGTTTCCGCGATCTACATCGAAAAAGAACCCCACCTACAGATATTCAAAGAGGAAAAAAATGGTAAGACTTTTGATTTATTTTGTTTGAACGTGTAAAGTGTGATGATCTGTTTGTTATCAATGAATCATAACAAATATGCCTATCCGGAAAAAAACATTATTCAACACCATTAGCATTACTACAAACCTGAAAAATGTCAGCCAATTACCGGTATTTAGACCTTTTAATTACAAGGCGGACACTCAACCACGTTGTTATTTAAAGGATTAACCAAACAGCAAAGCCAAGGAAGTGGCCTTATTACTTGTCCACACTTAATTTGAAAGACAAGTCTGAATCGTAATCACTGTCAATGAGTGAGCACCGTATGCTCGTTTTGAATGTAATTTTACTTAATATTAAGTTCCCTGAAGAGGTCATGCTAAATGCAATATCCCATCCAACAATATACATGTACACACTACTGAGAAATAATAATAAAGTCAAGTCAGTCATTGACAAACAAGGCACAGGTCAGTGAGGCCTGCTATTAACCATTTTTATGCAAAACATTTTCCAATCTGTACTGTTTATCGTCCAATCTGGACAAAACCATTTCTCTTTTTAAAGGGAATTTTAAAATTTATAGTAAATGAAAAGCGAACAGTGCAGACAATGACGAATCGGACGGCACAAATGTGTCTGCTGATTTTGGTTTGGTTAGTTGTTAAAATTCTATAAAATGTGTAACTTTGTAGCTTAGTAAAAATAACATTCATGTGTGCATTGAAAATAAATAGCAAATTAAGAATCCGTCATTTCATACATTATTTTATATCTCTTAAATTCAGTTACAATTGTCTTTTTTTTCCAATAACAAAAATATCTAGAAATTATAAAGTCTTCATTTTATTGATATTCATTTTGTACTTTTGCAATTTTTTTAGCTGTAGAGGATATTGGTTTGTCTTCGAACATAATATAAGTAATAAAAACATATATCCCAGACTGAACACAATATACTTATTTATGTGGTCTTTAAATACAACATACATGTAACAGTAATCATAATTTATCAATTAAAATAAAAAGGTCGGAGTTGATCCATGCCAGGTTTGTACACTGGGAAGATGAGCGTTTTTTGTATATATGTCTATCAATCTGTTTTAAGAGTAAAACTTCCTTATTATAAGTGCCCTGTGGATTTATTTAATACTGAATACACAAACCCATTTTATGTAAGACCTTAAGGAGCATTTGGCATATATCTATTTGACTTTGATTACTGAATGCCTTTACATTAAGTATTCATATTTCTATATACTTGAAAAAACATTGCTTCATATGGACATATATTTAAGAAAATATTTTGGCAGTCAATGTTCTTGACAAGAAATGAAAATAATACATTTTTAAATTCAAAACTCCACAGGCCATTTTAAAAGTACAGATTTTGTTATATTTCTATTTCTTTAGGGAGCAATTCGGCTGTTTTTATATATTTTGAATTGATTGTGTACATGTACAAATATTTGTGTTATTGAGGTTTTATGTCACATGTGTGTATGGAAGTAAATACACTTAACAATTTTTATGCATGTTTAAATATATTATAATCCGAATCAATATTGACCCTATCATGCTGGAATTTTCTATTAATACGTAAATATATAAATATTGGGTGCTTTAGCTTTAGTTTGCTTTTCTGATGCTGGTTAGATTGTGTGAAGATAATAATGCTGGTTGAATGTTTGTGGTTTATACTGTATCTTAGAGTTGTAGAATACTCATATTTGTGTTCTTCATTTTGTGGTGATTTCACTGTTTTGTTTGATCGTAAGTTGTTTAGAGCTTTTGCTCGCCAGGTGTCTTGTATTTTTTTGTATAAAAGACGTAAACGTGAAATATATTTCGTATAAGTGGTTGATAAATAATGTGTGTTTGTTTTGGGAGTAAATAATAATCAGAGTTCTTTGTTTTGAGTGTTAATAATAATCAGAGTTTGTTGTTTAAATGTATATATGGGTTTGAGATAGAAAAAGATAAAATACCTACAAAAAAGATAGTGTTAACTAAACAATTACATGTTAGTTCTCCAACTAAGAATAAGTCAATCTTAAGTCAGGCGGTTCTGCCCAGCCCCCATATCTTGGAAATTGGTTCTAGTATTTATTGCTAAATCTTTCCTTAGATTAAATAACATCAAGGCAGTCATTCTCCTGACAATATTCCATTTATTTCATTTCATAACAAACACATTTTACATTATGCTCATATCTCAATAGTAAAGTTGAGCTGAATTGACTTTTTATTTCAAAAGAGTGACTGTTAAACTGGTGTTTGACCAACAGATATTTTAAAAATGTTTACGATAAAATTATAAATCTGTCTTCAATATAAAACGACTGTCCCATTCTTTTT